AATTATTTATAAAAACTATTTATAATTATTTATAAGGGTGAAAAAACTATTTTTACACTTTACACATTTATAATTAATTGTCTAATTTACTTTATATCTCTTGTTTTTTTTACACATTCATTATATTAACACACATAATCGTATATTAACTAAAATAAATAAATAAATATACGTTTCTTTTTTACAAATTACACCATTATAATCATCCAAGATTCTAAACAGCATGAGGCATGACGTGACAACGAGTTCAAGCTTCAAGCCTTGAAAGTCACGGCGAGTTCGCGACATTTTTAAGGTGTGATTTATGATGACAAATCTCTATATCATATATAACATTATATGCATAAACGTATGTTTTCTACTATTACTCAATAAATCAATGATAGTAAGCAATTTAAATTAAATTATATATTAAAAACTAACAAATAAGATATTAAAAAGTTAAGTAAAATCAAATATCGTGTAACAAAAACCGTGCATTACTCTGTGGCATGCCTCATGCATAACGTGACGTGAGATACAAGTCTTAAGTGACGGCGCGTCATGTCGTTTGTTGCGGCGAGCTTTTTCGAACATTAATCTAATCATCTCGTTCATGTATTCAAAATGAGCTCAATATTAAATATTTTTGGATTTGATCTTATATTATTAAATATTATAAATACGTACGAATTATCTTTAAAACTTACATTTTCTACCCTTATAGTTACATATTATGTGTGTTAATATAATATAATATAATAAAAATACATTGAATAAATAACCATAAGGGTATAAAATGTATGTATTAAAAATCATTCGTAAGCTTTATAATATTTAATAATATAATTAATATTAAATACAAAAATATTCAATAATTGACTCATTTTGAATGTATTGACGAGACAATTATAATTGTGTTATTTATAAAAAAAAAACGTATTTTAAATGTATTTTAGTTTAAGTGTAAACTTTAGCTATTTGTGAAAAAAGAGATATGTGTAAAGTTTAAGTGTAAACTTTGGTTATTTATAAGAAGAAGAGTGATTAAAGTGGCTAAAAAGTAAAATCAATTTTGTGAAATGGTTATTTATGTAAATTTATGGTAAATAAGTGGCATATTGGTATGATGCGGGGAAGAGAAAAGGGGTTGGGGCATTCAAGTCATATAACCTTACAGGATGAATATGGTAAGGAACAAAAATCTTACCCAATAAGAGCGAGACAAAAACCAAGAGTCTTACCCGACAAGTGATGACGACGACTCTTATCACGGTATGCGCTTATCGAATAAATTATTGAAAACCAAAACTCTCATTACTTAGCCAAACCATTCCATTGATGAAGAAAATATTAAAACTTGAATTCATGCATACCAAAATCCTCAGTGTTACAGTTAGCTCATCAGGATCTATCAAATCCCGAAACGTTACCTTTCTATTCAAAAACTGCCTACTAAGAGTCCCAGAAAAAACGCCAACATGATGAATATTCATCGAAAAGAGTGTAGGATACATGCTTGTGAAAGGATCTCAAAATAACAAAGGAAAAATCAATACTAATGTTCAACATTTAGGAACAAAAAAAGTCAAATTGGATGCAATATATATCTCTTCTACATCAATGTCTTCAAGATTGTTCCTTGATGGAAAAAAGTCAAATTGAATGTTCCACAATGAATGAGCTATGAACTTCAAGATTGTTGCTTGATGGAAGTCCTGTTAAGATAAAATGATGATGTTGAATGGTTGAAGTGACGTAAATCGAAGAGAGAGGTGATAGGGATTAGGGAATACTCGGGTGGGAACTGTCTTTTTTATAGAGGGAGATAAGAACATTGGTAAGGGGGGAAAAGAGAGAAAGACTAAAATATCCTCGTGTGCAAAACACGTGAGAGGCTCTTAATGACCAAAAAGACGCAACATTAGGAGGAATGATCAAAACTGTTGGAAACTGAAAACATAAGGGACCAAAACCATGTTTATGAAGTTCAGAGACAAGATCCGTTGTAAATTGCAAATGTTAGAGACCAACATTGAACTTTGCTCCAATGCCCAGTAGTGATAGATACTGAATGCGCCTAATCTAAATCTTGAGAAAGCATCGTGAACACCAAACACTCCAACAACTCAAGTCGATTTCTATTGTTCTTCAAAGTTCGACTCTTCCTATTTTCAGGGTATGGAATTCCATTTGCAACCGATTAACAGTCATGAAGTTAGATTCAAAATATCGAAGATGGGAATCCGAATGGCGAAATTCTAACATATAAGAATCTATGGTCGTAGATAGAGTTCTTATAGGAATCTGAAGAAAAATCTCAAGAGAAACCTCTACTATGGATGCTCTTAGGTCAATCCCGACAACTCCTTTGCAAAAGCATTCATAATAATGAGATCCATTCCGCAACAACTATTGCTACCCACCCGAGCCACCATTCTTACTGCTACACGTGAACGGTGGTTGATGGTAGCATATTGTTGTAGCATGCAAACATATTTGTGACTTATTAGATTTATTAGTTTTGATTCACTAAACATGAAGTCCAAAAGAGTTTCTTGTCAATTGAAAAAATAACAACGTATTTTCATCACATTAACAACACAAACTTCAATTCAACCGAGCTTCGCTATAACATCATTAAGACTAGATACAACTGCAACGTAACTTTTCTCTGCTTCAGCTGGGCTTTTGATCTTTGCTGCATAATCCAACTGTTCCAAACAAAAATGACCAATTTACCCTTATCATCATTGTTACAAAATATTCAAAGTTACTGGTATCGAAGAGCATATGAAACATTTAACTGATATTTCCTTTGTCCCGATATATATGTCCGCAATAAAAAAGGCGCATGGTTTTAGAAAATGTGTAATTATACGTCTTTTTAATTAATTAAGTGACAGTTTTACCCTTATTATAAAGGGTGTGATGAGTTTCTTCTTCTTATTAAGGGTAGAACTAAAAAATAGGCACTTACTTTTGAAAATGAACACTTATTTCAAGACAAATTATAATAAAAATACGGACGTTTTTTGGACGAAGGGAGTACTATGATAGATGTGTCATTTTCGTGTAGAAACAGACTAAGGGCGAGGCAAAACTTACATCGGCCATGTCTTGGAATAGCTTCCCAGTGAGCTCTTTGAGTTGCTTCTTTTCGTCCTTTGACTTTGCAGCGATGATCGTATTGAGGTCATAACGAAGGTACTCCGACTTCAACCGAAGATCGTTTTGGACATAAGGCCATGCCTTTTTGCCAATGAACTCCTTGACATTCACTATTTCTTTCGCTGATTCTTTTGCACGAGCGGTAGCCTCCGTTGGTGTCAATGGCTGGATGAAGAACCGATTCTTCAACGGCAAATCGAGGTCTCTTGCCTCATCAGAGTTTAGAGTTCCGGCTATTAATATACATTCAAATAAATAAACCCAAATTCGAGTGAAAATCATGTAGTTTATTTCATGAATAAAAAAAAGTTAAGTGAATCCGACTCTAATTGCATTTTTGTGAAAATTATAACATTTGTGTTCAGAAATAATTGAATGTTTAATAATTAATGAAATGACTAAACTACCCTTCTAGCTAGCTTCGACTGAAAAATTTGACTTCCCAAACAATCGAAGGATTCAAACTCGAGTCTGTATCAACATATCAGAAAAGATATAGAATCTGGTAAAATTAATTGATTTTATTTTTCATGAATGGGGTAGGAAGAAGTCACCGGAGACTTACGAAGTCCGCCGGAAGGTGCGGGAGGTGGGCCGAGCTTGATTGGTTTAGCGTCGGCAAGCACAGCCTGAACAAAAGAACCCGAAGCCAGACCGGTGGCAATGAGCCCCAACATGGCTCTACGGCTGGTTTCGCCTTCACCTTGACTTTGTTGGGCTCTAACCACAAGTCCAGACCGAGCCACACCAACCCGACCATTTCCAACCGGGGTCAAGCGGCTCGAGCCGTTAAGCTGGAGACTGCCTTCCAAGACGGCTAGAGAGGAGCCACGTAGTCCAGCCATCGATGCCACAGCTTGAGCCATTGTTCTGATCTTGTTGCTTGTGTTTTTTCCCCTTTTTTTGTCTGCAATTTTAAACGAAATGGACGAAATAATATGTGATCGGCTTTAACACCTTATCTTTGAAACACATTTTCATGGATAATTTGGATATGCTTTTAGCCAATGGGCATTTGAGTTTTTGACAACTTGGATGAGGTCTTAAGTGCTTCCATTAGGATTCTGACACGTGGAGTTTAATTAAGATAGTTTTTATTTTTTTATTTTTTTATTTTTATATATTTTAGATATATCTTTTTATATTTTGACAACCAGAAAGTTATTAGTCTTATATGGATATTTTGATGTATAAGTAGTAATTAATATTTATCTTATATTTGAACATGTTTATTAATTTATTACGATTTAGTTTTATAAAATTCAAATGTATAAGTTTTATAAAAAATAAGTATATTTAAGATCATAGAGATTTTTTTGTCCAATTAAGATAAAAAAAAACAATTAAAGTTTCTCATTTTGAATGAAAAATCATTAAAACTTTTTTTATTTTGATTGATTAAGTTTCTAGATTTTTTTTTAATAAATAAGCTATCGTACTTCTAAAAATTAGTTACCTACATCTTGTTAACCCAAAAAAAAATTACATTAACTGATTAGTAAAAGTTCGATGATTTGTTTATTTTATTTTTAAATTCAGGGTCTTAATCATTAAAAATATAAAAGTTTAATGATTTTTTCATTAAAAAAAATAGTTCAGGGACTTAATCATTCAAAATGAGAAAGTTTAATCCCTAACGTTTGTTATTTTAATAGTTCTCGCCCCTCAACTTCGTTTTAACGGATTTGTTCATCATGTTGGTCACTTCGCAACACTTTTCGTCCGTCTTCCTTATGGCCGTTAACTTTTTCTATTAAGTAATCAAATGAGGGGTAGTATGGTCATTTTATTCTTTTGTTAATTTTCTTTTAAAAACTTAAATATTTAATGTGTGTATATACATATATTACATAAATACTAGAAGTGTACCTAAGCAGTGCAACACAGTTATGAAATCTAGAACTCGAACCTTCAATCATGATCCATACTTTGTTTTGTTGTTTATCTTTCTCGATTTTATTTTACTGTTTTGAAAAAAAACTAGAGATGGATTAGTTATTATATACTAGAAGGATACTCGTGCAATGCAGCGAGATAAATTTTGATTTTAATGTTTAGTTTTTATTATTTGTCTCTATCGATATAATACGATTTATGTGGTTTTGAGAAATGATAATGTTTTTATTTTTGAATAAAATATAAATTTGAATATAACATAAAAATTTGAAAAAAATAAATCGATATTAGTATCAAATTAACTATTTAATAATTCTCGTTATTTTGGTATAACTTCGTTAATTCAATTTTTTATTATACGTTAATTTAGATTTAATAACAAAGTAATTTATTTTTGATTTAATAATATAATTTTTTTATACAGATAAGAATTAAGAATTTTATTAGAACTCAATGATTATTTTAATTAAGGGTTTGGATTTTTGGTTATGTTTTTGTGTGTTTTATATTATTGTTTGTTGTGGATGACAAAGCTCTTCTACCATCTATTACTTATATGAATTTTGTGTATTATTTTTATTAATCTTACAATTTAAAATAATTATATAATTTTCTTTGTTTCACATTGTGAAACAACATAATATTGCTTAGACGAAATAATGTATTGTTGTTTTTGTCATTGCCCTGATTTTTTTGAATGTCGTGACGTCAATCTTAATAACTTATGCCTTGTGAAAAATAGAACTTAAAATTTTCAAAACATATATATATATATATATATATTTTATTACATAATTGCGGAAGTGTAAAACATTTTAACATAAACAATGCTAACTTTAATATCTAAACAAGCATGATAAAAACATAATCCCATATTTCTTTATTCAAATCTTCTAGGGACGATCAATACCTGAGATATATAAATGTATAGTATAAGCTAACAACTTAGTGAATACAATATGGTTTCATGATAACATTGACATATATATTGATTTACCGTTTATTTATTATTATCTTGTAAGTGTAGTCTCGGTTCATCAGTTTTCTTTGCATATGTGGCGTATTCTATGGACGAGGATTTCAAGACATCGGAATTGCAAGCCCTTCTTTCATGTTCAACCCACCCCCATACGGTGGACGAACCTTGCCGGATCATACTAGTTACATGCCATTTATTTGCAATACTTATTTATTAATGCAAATCTCATCGTGACATGCAATATACATCTCGTGCAAGTGAAAACATAAGTCTCATATGCATCATCATCATATTATACACACTTGACTATCATATTAATAATATCAAGTCATTATAATCAACATCTTTCGTATCATGTACATCGACATAATCAAATTATCATCATATGCATATTAACATATCATGCAAATATCATGGATAAAATACTTTGTAATAATCATGTATATATCCCATAAAAATCACATAATGTACTCACCGTGAATCGTTAACGTTTGATATGTCATTTTCTCAAAACTGCAACATACATGGTAATTCATACCATTTCTAATTACCTTAAATAATCGTAGCTAAATTGATCATCACCTCCTAATATCTTAGCATGACTAATTTTTAACAATTTTTATTGGTCAACGCCCAATATCTTCATATCTTTTTTTTGTCTCACTCAAATATTTACTTGAAATATAACTGCGATGTTGTTATAATATTTCTCGAAGTAAAAATCGATGTTTAAATATTTTATAAATATGTATTGTATATTCACATTTTCTTCAAAGGTAAATATTTTACCAAAATAGCTAAAATAAATAGATGGCATCGTAAATAATATTTTATTGGCCATAACACAACTTTTGAAATGATTTTATAGTAACAACAAGTCGCACACATATAAATAGTGGCCAAAGCAATGACTTTAAGGTTAAAAATAAATGAACACTTGAAATAATATTTAAAATACCAATGTGTCAAGTCTAGGGGCATTTCGATAATCTTGAGAAGCCGAATACCAAGAACATTTTTGCTGAAATCCTTTCTCTTTTGAACTGCTTGAGAGCTGGAAGATTGGAATATCCCGACTTCCAATTCTTATACTACCCGATCCTACTAGGTTGATGGGTGGAAGCTAGCGGCGGGGATTGCTTAGATACTGGAAGTTCGCCCCCTAAGCGGTTAGCGAGTTCGCGAGACCGGGGTAGAGCTTTACCCAATTCCGTAATTTAGAACATTTTTGGTATATTTTATAAGTAAAATATTAAAACAATGCTTAAAAGTCCAGTCCCAAAGCGTAGTGACATTTTGGTAATTTCATAAAGCAAATACTCAAGGTATTGCTATAATACCGGTTCCTTAATTGTGAGGTCATTTCGGTAATTTATAAAGCAAATACATAAAGTATCGTTAAAATATCAGTTTCCAAATTGTAGAGTCGTTTTGGTAATTTTAAAAGGATTATATTCAAAATAATTCTTAGATACCAATTCTCAAGACGTTTGGTCAAGCAAATACGTAAAGTATTGCTAAAATATCAATTTCCAAATATAGAGTCATTTTGTTAATTTTATAAAGATAATAATATAAAAATGAAGTTTATATATCAATCTCGAAGACATGGGATAATTTCGGTAATTTATAAAGCAAATATGTAAAATATCGCTAAAATACCGTTTTCCAAAATGTAGGGTCATTTTAGTAATTCCAAATAAAACTTAGATACATACCAATTCTCAAGATGTTTGGTCATTTCGGTAATTTTATAAATCAAATATGTGAATATTGCTAAAATATCAATTTCCATATATATGGTCATTTTCTTAATTTTATAAAGATAATAATATAAAAATGAAGCTTATATATCAATTTCCAAGACATTGGGTCATTTCGGTAATTTATAAAACAAATATGTAAAATATCGTTAAAATACCGTTTTCCAAAATGTAGGGTCATTTTAGTAATTCCAAATAAAACTTAGATACATACCAATTCTCAAAATGTTTGGTCATTTCGGTAATTTTATAAATCAAATACGTGAATATTGCTAAAAAATAAATTTCCATATATATGGTCATTTTCTTAATTTTATAAAAATAATAATATAAAAATGAAGCTTATATATCAATCTCCAAGATAAAGGGTCATTCCTAAAGACAAAGTTCTTAAAGCCGCCCAATATCCTTTCATTTTCCAAATATTTTTACGAATACGCTTTTTTTATATAAAAGTACGTTTTTTTTGGAACTGACATTTAAAAATGAAGAAGTTACTCATTGTTATAGTTGGATGTGAAAGACAACTATTATTCAAAACGAATTATTTCGATAATCTATAGACCAAATACGTAACATATTGTTGAAATACTGTTTTCCAAAATGCAAAGTCATTTTGGTAATCTCATAAGGATTATATCCGAAATTAAACTTATATAAATGAGTTCCATTTTCTCATTTAGAATTTTGTATTTAAAATTAAAACTCAACAACTTTAAAACATGAAAATCGAACCATGTAAACACAAATCTGAGGCATGATGCTACTAGGGTTTGAAAAAGTATTAAAAATGAAGCCATGGACATAAAAATAATGAGATTATTGAGATTTAGCTAAAAATCTCACCTGTATTCGACGAAAAACCGAGAAGTTTAACTCCGAACTTCAAACTCATATTTCTCTCTCAATATTTGCTTATTTTCTAAACTATTTGAACTCAAATGACCCTAAACCGATGCTCAATAGTCATATGAAAGAGTTTTGGTTTATTAATTAACGAATAATGCCGAATCGCGAGTTTTAGGCTGTGAGGTCGTTTTCTCCAAACATGCATGTTGTATTAGCAAAACAAGTCCCTCATCTTTGAAAAAGATGACATTCGCCCCCTTGACTTTCTAACATTTACAACCTGTCCCCTGCTCTCACTATTTTAATAAAAAAAAATACACCTCAATCTTGGTCATTCTTATTACCATTTTATTAATTATATCTATACTTATAATAAATAAGTAACTTGGGTGACACGTGTCATCTTCTTGCGTCTAAT